AAGAAATGGAAATAGGGCGGACGAGCCTTCCTAAGTCCTTCAATCATTATTTATATGCATCTATACAAGCACATGCATACATCTAACTACATCTGAGTGTTTAACAAGTGGAAACATATCGTGAAGTATAACCGAATCGTGATGTATAAGCGAATTGTGAGGTATAACCGAACAGTGTGGAATAACCAAATCGTGAAGTGTAAAAGAACAATGTGAATAACCGAATCGTGATGTATAAGAGAATCGTGAGGTATAACCGAACAGTGTGGAATTACCGAATCGTGAAGTGTAAACGAACAGTGTGAATAACCGAATCGTGATGCATAAGCGAATCGTGAGGTATAACCGAACAGTGTGGAATAACTGAATCGTGAAGTGTAAACGAACAGTGTGAATAACCGAATCGTAAAGTATAAGCGTTACCAAATATAAGTGTATCACGAAGTGGAAACGTTATCAAGTAGGAGTTTAAACTAAGTAAAAGCGAAGCAGCGGTATTTAACAAATAAGAGTATACGACATGAAAGAGAACTTTGATGAAAACCTTGGAAAAACCTTTATACTTAAGAAAATCACAACTTGGTATTCTTTGGTAAATAAGTTTGAAAACCTTTATAAATTCTTTGGAAACCTTTCATAAACCAGTTTAAAATGAACTTTGATAAAACAGTATAAGTAAGAGTTTTGAACAAGTGAAAACATTTTAGAAAACCATTTATAGTATCCTACTCGGTAAAACAGTTTACAGTGTGGTAAATCCTTGTGCATGCGGGTTATCAATCACATGTGATTGATATGATAATTGGCATGTTTAACTTGTATTCCCCCCCCCTATAAAACATCTAAAAACATTAAAAAGGTTCATTCAGGGGTATGAACTCACCTTATGTAAGTGGATCCGACGAAGGCGCCGGTTGGGTGCTCGGTGTCAAGTAAAGACTTGAACACACTTAGTGACCTATTTAACATATGATAACATATGTTCACATACAATTAGTACATTTAATACTAATTAAACAAGTATACACATCCTAAAGTGCGGAAAACACTTTGGTTAAGGGTTAGGGGTGTCCTGGGTAACATTTAAGGGCTTGAATAGCTTAGGAATGGAGTTTACTCTTCAAGAGTAAACTCTATATACATAGTTCACGACCCTGGGACAACTCCCCATGAGTTTACGGCCGTAAACTCATGGTGAGGGTGTTCTAGGATGCTTAAAGGCCTTATATCAATTGTGGAATTTTGCTAGGTCCAAATATAAAGTGTTTGAATGGATTTAAGGCACCTATATGGACCAAATGGGAGTTTACGGCCTTAAGATCCTATGTACATAACTTTTGGTGTTTTAAGGTCTTAAATGGTAGAGGATAAAATCCCATGCATTTTTCCAAGTCAAATGAAGGAGTTTGGGCACCATTTGGGCACTTAATGGGAGTTTACGACCCATGAACCACCTCTATGGGAGTTCACGGCCGTGAACTCCTACTCCCTTGGTTTTATTTAAGTTTAAGGCTCTTACAACAATGGTATTACATTCAAACTATTTTTCCAAGGCCACAGGGGGTGTTGAGGGCATTTCTAACACATGGAATTGAGTTTACTCCCCATGAAGGGGAGTTTACGGCCCAAGCATATTCTTGGGCAGTAAACTCATGTTTACTCTCCAAAACGCTAGTTCAAGGTGTTCTAAGTCCGATTCCATAAGCCTACAAGTCATATATAAGCCTTAGGGACAATTTGGAGGGGTTTTGGGGCTTAAAAACCCCATTAAATGGTGTTCACGGTCCAAGAGTGTTCTTGGGCCGTAAACACATGATTTTGTCCCTATTTTATGTTTTAAACACAAATTTGCATGCTAGATAAGTTATACAACAAGTTAGGATAGTTTACCTACTCGTTTAAGGATCGAAACGGACGATTTTTGGCTTGGGAAAAAGTTGTAGAGAGAGAGTTTAGAGAGAGTGTGGAAAAGGTGGAAATGAAGTCCACTCTCCCTTATATAGGGGCTTGAGTTGAGGCTCAGTGGAAATCTACCCGATACTGCCGTTAAACGGAGCTTTTGGTCGCACCCGATTTAGTGGTCGTAATAAAATCTAACTTTTTCCAATTTAATGGAAATGTAAACTACATGCTTTTATTTTATTTTATCACGAAAAATAACGACATAAAAGTTAAATAAATAAAGCGTTTTATTTATTTGACGACCCTACATTAACGGAACTTTTATAAAATGGAATATTCCGTTAACGGAAACGGGGTAATGTAACGGAGTAAACTTTGAGTTGTCACACGACGAGTCGAGAGACCAACTCGACAAGTCGAGTTGTTTTGTCCTGATCCTGTACAAGGCAAAACTCGACGAGTCTATGAAGGGACTCGATGGGGTGACTTGGTTTATTACGAGTCTGAATGGCATAGGAACTCGACGATTTAGAAGGTAACTCGACGAGTTGATTCGACTGGGAGTTGACTTTAACTTTGACTTTGGCAAGGGGTATATTGGTCATTTTACCCTTAGAAGGATTCTCAGTTTTCTGACTAAGTATTATTATATAAAGTTAGCTGGGGAGTTGTGGGAGCAGCCAACAAAGATTCCTCACACACGAGTTCAACATCCAGTTTGAGGGGTGAGTCTTCCTTCAGTAGGAATGTGTTGAAGGCACCAATGCAGGCTCGTTTATGTATGTTAGTAAGTGTCGGACTTCAGTCCGATGCCGAGGATAACCCGATGTAGAGCATGTGTTCCGGACTTCGTTTCGATGTTTGGGCGGTCCCGAGAAGTATTTATGTATGCTTGATCTCTCTCTCTCTCTCTCTTTCTCTCTCTCACACACACACACACTTGAATGCGTTCTCAACTTATCGTCGTGATTTAGCATCTAACTCATGTATCAGTGCTATCACAGGGGTTTGATTTGTATAAACCCTAATTATGATTCGCAACTGAACCTATTGAAGTTATATGCGAGTATTAGCAATGATTGAGTTAAGAATTTTATCTATGGACTACATATTTAGGTCTATAAGAACATAAACAAAAAAGACGGTGAAGGAGGAGGCACTTGAGAGTTTGAAAGCAATGACGCCGGTTGAGGCAAATGCTCCTTCGTTACCTCTTCAGGCGTTGCTGGGAGGTTTTTTTGCTGTAATTATTGCAATTATTTTGTATAAATTCACCACCACCATTGAAGCTTCTCTGAATCGTCAAACCATTTATGATAAAATCATCCCCAATTCTTAATTGTTAATTCCAAATTCAAATGAGAGTCAAACTCAAATGTGTGTGATTAGAGGAAAGAACGAAGAATGTAATTAGATGTGTAGAGAGGAAAGGAAACAAGGAGATAATGATTTTGAGGTGATGTAGATCGACGTAAAATGGCAAGTCAAACTTGGCGACCTATAAAATCAGGTAAAATGGTGTAATTAACAGGTTACCAACAAGTTTAGTGACCTATTGCGCAGAAAAATAACTTTGGTGATTAAATCGGACAAACGTGAAAAGTTCGTTGGTTACTATGACATTTACCTTTTCTTTAAAAAAAATATCTTATTTATAAATGGAGTTAGAACTTTTTAATTTGCCAAAACATATTCTTTAACTAATTTTTTAAAAGTAAATAAGACAATTTTAAATAAAAACATAATTGGTAATGTAAGAATTTTAATGACACAAAAGCAATATTCATGTGTATTTTCTTTAGCCATTTACTTCACCGCCACTTCATCACACTTGTCCATGGTTTCCAATAATCCAATTTAAGATCTTCAACCCTAATTTTCATCAATCATCGTCTAAATCTTCTTATTTGCGTCAAAATTCTGGTGTGCAAGTCGATTTCTTTATCGATTTCACACCCAATCTTTCAGTTTCCGTCAATATGTCGAAGGAATTCAACGTCCCGCCTGTGGTTTTCCCCTCCGGTGGAAACCCCAACACCGGCCCACAACAACGTCGTCTCCCAACAGCGCCTTTTCAGCCTGCGAGATCTGCAAACGCTGGTATCCCTTTCATGTCATTCGACATCGGGTCATCTCCGGCATCCACATCCTTCTCCACTCCCCAATTCGGCAGCACCATCAGCAGCGGCAGTACGAATTTTGACGACGAGCCACCTCTCCTGGAAGAGCTAGGTATAAACACGAAACAAATTTGGAACAAAACCGTATCAATTTTGAATCCATTTAGAGTCAAAGCCGATCTTCACGAAGACGCAGATCTATCCGGTCCTATTTTGTTCATCATGGCATTCGGATTGTTTCAATTGCTCGCCGGGAAGTTACATTTCGGGATTATTTTCGGGTGGACAACCGTCGCGTCTCTGTTTTTGTACGTCGTGTTCAATATGCTCGCCGGACGAAACGGGAATCTCGATTTGTACCGGTGCTTGAGTTTGATCGGTTACTGTATGCTTCCGATCGTGATACTATCCGCACTTTCGCTGTTTGTTCCTCAAGGTGGGGTATTGATCTTCGTGATGACGGGGGTTTTCGTGATGTGGGCGACGAGGGTTTGCACCGGTTTGTTGGTGGAGCTGGCTTCTTGTGGAGACGAACACCGTGGTCTCATTGCGTACGCTTGCTTCTTGATCTACATGCTTTTTTCTTTGCTAGTTGTATTTTGATATTATATCATCTGCTTCATCATAGTTTTTCGCTTTTTCTTCATAGTGGTTGTAGTTGTTAGCCGTTGTTAAGTACAGGTTTTGTGATTAATGAATGCAAGTATTTATTCTGGTATCTTGTCTTCATCATGTCCTTGTTGCTTATATTTCTGTATTTAAGGAAAAGTCATATATGAGATAATATAAGATGTTCTTTTTGGGAGGAAATTCACCTTTGATCAATGTGCAATACAGAAAGTCATTTCCATGGTTTCCATGATCTTCCTTTTGTAGTCATAGTGAATTATTATTATTGTTTAGAAGGCAAAATAAGTATGTTATAAACATTTGAATAAATTTTACTGACTATTAAGAGATTAATTTATCGCATACAGGTACATCAATGAAACACTAAAATACAAACAAAAGGTGTCATTACACCATCCTTTTGATTCACAAATCTAAAAAAAAAAAAAAAAAAATTCAAATTGCTTTTTCACTTTGGCAAGCCAGTGAGTGGGTCAAGTAGGGCTTGAGTTTCATCAGAAAGAACAACGGGACCACCTCCGGGTCTTGTACAGATAAAGTAGCTGACATCGCCCTTTGATTTCTCTCCCACAATGTTACCTTTTGTTTCAGGGGGACCCACCAATGCTTCTACATCCTTCATATCCTTAATTCCCGCATCTTTTAGTATTGACTTGTCCCCGATCACATACCTATTCAAAATAACATAAACCATCATCAAACAAGCGTGTATCTTTGAATTCCATCCATCTTGCAAACCAAAGACGCCATGGAATGGAATCTCAAATTCCAATTCCATCGATGGGTTTACCTGTCTAAATCGGTATCGGGTTGTGGAGGGAAGTTGTAAAGCAGCCTTTGTAGTAGAAGGGCAGCGGTTTTCCTGTCACGTGCTATCATAACCGCATTTGGCCCCGCATCAAACGTGTACGCCACCTGTCCATTTCAAACCAAATTACTCAATATCCCAAATTTTATTAAATTTTCAATCCACCAGTTCCCATAAATATCAACACTCCAAACCTGAGGTGTCTCTTCTGCACGATTCCATTTCTCAACACAACTGATTATTCTGTAACAACATTTTACAAATTAGATTTTTTTAAGGGTAATTACCTCTAATAGGAATGTACTTATATTTCTTTACTGATAATAACATATTGCTATTATTGGTAAAAAAAAATGTCAGTGTGTACATTGTTATTTTCTGCATTTTCCTTTTTTTTAATTCCCTTATAAAAATGGTATGCAAAATGAGCAACTTACCTGTGGGAAGTGTCGTTCATGTAGAATATAGGGGGATACGTGTCCAAACAAACAGCATGAAACTGATTACTGTCTGTACACGCTAAACGTGCAAAAGATGCAAAATCACGGTTTTGTATCGCGTTTTCCATTTCGATTATGCGCTTCGGTACAACTTCCTGTCCCGACAAAATTTAGACTGTTACACAGGACATGACATAACAGATTGTACTGTGTTGTGTGTTCGTTGGAAGGGACTGGCACTGAGACTTACGTCAATGGACAAAAGTAGAAACTTTTTGTCCCATCCAGAATTACGGAACAATTTGGGACATGTACTTGTTCTAGATTATGCAAAAAGACGTAAATGCCCTTCTCATAGAGATGTACCTTTGCTCTATGTTGTATAAGTGCACTTGTTTCAACGGTATCACGCATTCCGGATGTGCTACTTGTTTCTTTTTGTCGTGCACTTACCTATAAACAATATTAGTACCAATAAGGACAAGTTCTAACACAAGATGTTTGTAATATGTAAATAGGATGTGGTAACTAACAAATATTTAAAAAAAGGAAACAAGAAAAATACCACAGCAATGATAATTACGAGTTCGTCCCAATGTTTCTCATCTGCAAGTTGAACAGCAAGACTATCACTTCCATTTTCCTCCTATAAACAAGAAAGACAAAAGTTAGAACATTTGGCTCCAAGATTATATATTTTTTTAATTGGGAAAAAAGTTTAAATCACTGAAAAACTTACTTTTCCCATGATCCACTTCACAAATCCACCATATAAACTGCGACAAGCACTACCTGAACCTTGCCTGTGCATAAACTTTATATATTAATGAATTGTTTCTAATGCTATTAGCATTTGCTTATTTTAATCTATTGATGTATGTATGTATTACTTACCTGGCAATAGCAGAAAGTTGACTGTTATCTTCTTTCAGGTTCATCAATTTGGCAAGGGAAAATACTGCAAAAAAAGATTTATTAATTTCTTATATATAATTGAAAGATTTCTGAAAATGCATATTTGATGCAACATTGAAGCATGAAATGAGTACCTAAACAAGCAAGACCAGCAGCTGAGGAAGCAAGACCAGCTGCAGTTGGGAAGTTGTTATATGAAGCAATGTGCAGGTGAAGTTTCTGCCAATCTTCCTTGTTGATTTTGATACCTCTCTTCTCATCTTCTACATCATTAGCACGAGCTCGGATTTCTCTTAAACAACTTTGGAATCTACCTCCTTGAAGTGATATCTCCTACAATAACCAGGAAAAACAAGGGAAAAATGCCACGAATCAGAGAAGCTGAATGATTGATGATTCATAACCTGCTCGTTTCACACTAATCAACGCATATCAATCAGTATTGTTGCAATTTTTGTGTTGAAGATAGTTAAATACTTAAATTAAGCGAGATACAAGTACGTCGACTTCATCTAATCGAAGTGAACTTCGGATTTTAGGAGGACTCAATCCGATCACAGAATTCAATATCCGCATCTCCGATTGCTTAATTTTGAGTTGATCGATGGAGAAACAGAGAGAAATTAGGTTCAGGTGTGTACCTTGCCGTTGAGCCACATGCGATCTTCAACAAAGCTAGGGCTCACAGAAACGGTGGTGGTTGTACAGAGGTGATTCGGATCGAGAGTAACACTAATACTATCATTAATCGGCAAAATCAACTTCTCGTCCCTTTTCCCCCAGTACTTGATCACAGCTATGTTCGTCGGCGTTCTCGCAGTCACCATCAACACCCATTTCTCTGCTTGAGCTCCCATGATCAATTCAAATTAATCTAATGATAAGGAGATTGGGAGCGATTAGTAGGGAGATTAAAGTTGTATCGTATGCATGTGAATATATAGACGTATGGTGTATTTTTATATATGAAGGTTTAGATGTCACCCTCCATTGTTGACTGAAACTCATCACTGATGTGCGTGTGCGTCTTACAAAATTTGATTTGGCCCCTGAAGTTTCCAAAGTTCAAAATTTGACACTATAGTTTTTTCCTTAATACTTTTGTTACTAACATTTTCTTGAATTTTTTTAATTGTTGTAATAACCGAAAAAACCAAAACTCAAGTGATTGGAACACGTCACTATATGGCCCATGAATCGGTAAAAGCGATGATACTTATGCGTTATGACTTATATCTTATATCTTCTTATATTATGTATAAACTTGTAAAACAAAGACTCATGCAAAATGGTGTTTTTTAGAATGCAAATGACACTAATCAACTTTTTTGGTATGATTTGATCGTTAAAGAAAGAAAAAAATTTCAGATTTACCATGCATTCGATTTGTTTCTTTTAAGGGAGAGGCAACGAGGTAGCCAATCTTGAAAACTGGAAGTCAAATAGTCAAACTTAAAAGATGATAATCTTTAAACTTAAAAGATGATAATCTTTAAGGCCATATCTTGAAATTAAAGCAATGTCCAATTTCTTGTCACGGGATAATATAAAATGCATGGAGTGTCATTATTCGGACTCTTTGGTGGCTCTTCCGTTCCAAAAATTGGTATTTCTCAAGTAATATAATAGTTGGAACACTAAAATCGACTTAACATTTGGTTTAAAGTTTCAACTTTCAAAGTCGATGTAACCAGTTGATAAGATTCAAGTACCCTTTCTTTCATTATTTGAGATCGATTAAACATTTGGGTTATAGTTTCGAAGTCAATGGAAGTCACTAAACTCGATTTGATAACTTTTTATTTAGTTATTTGTGTTTTTTTATAGTGTTTTTGTTTTTTGTTTGAAACCCTAGTTTCTGAAGCAATTTTTGGTTTTTTTGTTGTTATTTTTTGTTTATTCTTTTTAAAGTTTAAATGTATTGTTGATGGTAAATGTTGGTTGAACTCATGATTGTGTTGGTAAACAAAGTTTTTATTATCAATCCATAAATTTGATAAAAGTCTTTAGATTTGAAGCTTGCTAACATAAACTAATATGAGTTTAGAATGATGTTGATGTTGATCCATATGAACATGAAATATTGTATCAGAGATTCGTGCCAACTTCTTGATGTATTGGAGAATATGATGGTAACTCCTACTTCTTTTAACAGTAAAGTCTCTTCAACAGTGACAATCTTTTGTGTAATAAACCTTAATTTATTCATTAAATGTTAAATTCATTTTTTCTAGGTATCTTATGTGGACCATGTTCAAATATTATACATGCGAGTGAGAAATGAGGAAACAATCATGTGGCTATTTTTCGTATTGTTGATAGTCTTGTACTTTTAATCTTCCTTTTTAAAGATTATTTATAATGATTGCAAATCACCAAAGATTTAACAACTTTCTTCTATCGTGATCATATGGTTTACGTACTATGAAGATTATTGTACATGTTGTGTTTTAACTTTCACTACAAGTTGCATCAAAATAAAGGGTTTAAGTTCAACTCTAATTAGAGATAACAAAATCTTTAAACTACAGTAGGATGTTCAGGATTTATGTTGTATCAAATCCCATTGTATCAAATGGTAACTATACTTTGAGTTTTATATTTATATATCTCCTTAGTCTTTAGGAGTTGGAATTATTTTTACCTTAAAGTATATACATGTTTGAGATGGAAATTGTGGCCATTCATGTAATTACTGAAGATACAGTACATCTTGAAAATGTGAATGTTCTTCGGGTTGTGATTATTATATTTTTTCTGTTGATATTTTCAAATTGTATTACCTTTCAACTTTTTACTTCAAATAATAGTTATACCACTATTTTACCTTACTTGTTTTTTTATGTAATTTAGGTTTGGGTTAAAGTTTGCAATTACATGCACTAAATGATATGGAAAACAAGCAAAAATCACAACTTTGAATGCCATCCACACAACTTTATGGAGCAGTATGCTTACGTTAAAGTGAGTTATCTTGCAACATCTTTGATTTTTTGGTTTCTATAATCTTATTTGTAAATATTAGGGTTGTTATGAACTTAATTAAGGTATATTGTTAGTTTTAAGTGTAACGCCCGTCTCTCGAGGTATTAATTATTTAAATTTTTCTTAAATTATTGTTGGGCTTAATATGGAAAGTAAAGATGCTTTTGGGCCAAGTATTGGGTAGCCCATAAGACGTACGTTGGGCGTAGCCTGGGCGTACGCGGGGCGTAATAGACTATGATGGAAGCGGGGACGCGCACACTTACGCGCAACATACCACTAGGTACGCACAACGTAAGTGAGCAGATAAGAAAACCCTAATTTAAGGGTTTAAGACCTATATAAACCCCATGATAACATCCTTCTGGATTCTTACCAGCCTCCTCACCCCCAAAGAAACCCTAATACATCCTTACCTTCTCTTTTATGTGATTTTGCTCCTTGTAAGGGTTTTAGTGAGAAAGAAGTTGTGAAGAAGGAAAGAAAAGGTTGGAGAAGAAGCTTGAGCCCATAAATCCGGTCTAGACTCACTCTTTGTCACCAAAAGAAGGTATAAAGTACTGAACTTTCTTCCTCATATGCTAGATCTAGAGTTATTGAAGTTTTGGACCTTTTTAGATCCAAAGGTTGGACCTTGATCATGGAGTTTCGTTTTTGAGCTTGGGATTGTCATCCTTTGGGCTCAAAGCACCTCATTAGCAATAAAGTTTCGATCTTGGAGGTTTGCATGAGGCCATGTAGGAAATCTAGTCATTTCTTTGGAGTTAGGATATTGCTTTTTGAAGTTTGAGCCTTTATGAGTTACCCAAGCCATCAAGTAAGCAACTTTATGGCTTAGGACAGAGAATAAGACATGGATCTGAATTTGTAGCTTCTGAATCGAAATTAAGGACTTAATAAGAAGGTGGCTTAACTAGGCTGTACGCTAGGCATACAAGGAGGTACGTACGGCGTACAAGCCAGCAGCCAGTACGCCCTGCATATGCCATCAGTTTGGGCTTCAAGCTTTTGGGCCTCAGTGTGGGCTGTGCTTTGGAATTAGAATCTTTGGGCCTTAGGAGTCTTCAGAAGTCAGTGTATATGAGCCTTGTTTAGGTGTTGGGCCTAGAGTAAGGCCCAATAAAGAGATTTGGGCCCAATGTAGAAATGGGTGCCATTAGTGAGCCTTTAGTGGGTCATTAGAGGACTTAGAAGGAATTGAGGGTTTGGGCCATCATAGCAGGGGTAAAATGGTCATTTTACCCTGAGGTTTGTTATAAGTATTTGATTTTTGTATGTATGGGATTTGTAGTCGAGGAATTTTGGAGCGGCAGGCAGCCAGTTTCAGATTTAGTATCTCAGCAGCCAACATTACGAGGTGAGTTTCCCTTCCAGTAGGAACGGGTCTACGACCACAATGTTGACCCGTTTAGTTAGTAGTAGTTCCGGACTGCGGTCCGATGCAGTAATTAGAGTTCTTGATGTCTTTGTGATTCAAGCCTGTTTTGTGTTATGTGTTTCAGAACCTGGTCCGATGCAGTATGCAGTATATGTATTCATGTTAGTTGATATGTTTATGTTATGTTATGTTCAATCAGTTTCCGAACTTCGGTCCGATGCAGGGGACATGGTCCCAGTCAGTTCCGGACTTCGGTCCAATGCAGTTTTCGGACTTTGTTCTGATGCAGGGGACAAGGTCCCAGTCAGTTCCGGACCTCGGTCCGATGAAGTTTCCGAATTTCGGTCCGATGCAGAGGGCAAGGCCCTGGTTAGTTCCGGACTTTGGTCCGATGCAGTTTCCGGGCTTTGGCCCGATGCAGTGGGCAAGGCCCAATAGTTGTTTATATGTTATTGTATGGTATGTGGTTGTTTGGAGGAGCTCACTAAGCTTCGTGCTTACAGTTTCAGATTGTGGTTTCAGGTATTTCCGCTAGCAAAGGGAAGAGCTCAGGTTGATGGCATCGCACACACCACCGCTTCAGTTTTATCATGGGAGTTCTTTTTTTCAAATATTTTGATATGATTGATACAGTGTTGTTTGACACAGATACTATGACTTTTGAGTTACTTATTCCATGGTTCTTATTATGTATGACATTCGATGATGTGAAATTTTAGTAATATTAAACAAAATTTTTTGGGTCGTATTTTGGGTCGTTACATTAAGTAATACATGAATTTAGATATGAAAGATAGTAGTTTGTATGTTTATGATTCATGCCATAAAGTTTTTATGTTACATTTTATAGAAATTTTCCATCATATTCAAGAAGAAGAACAACAATGGATGGAAAGGTACACACTTTCAAGGCACGATTGGTTGCGAAGGGCTTTACTCAAACTCCATAGACCGCTTTCATTAATGGGAAATTAGATTTAGCTGAAGATGTTTACATGAGTCAGTCAGAGAGTTTTGTAAATGTAAAGTTTCATAATAAGGTGTGTAAGCTTGAGAAATCCATATATAGATTGAAACAAGCGTCTCGTAGATGAAATATTTGCTTCCATGAGAAAGTCGAAGAACTTGGTTTCTCTAGGAGTGAAGATGAGTCATGTGTGTATATCAAGACTAGTGGGAGTAGAGTAGCTTTTCTAGTATTGTATGTTGATAACATTTTCCTTATAGGAAACGACATTCCAACTTTGCAAGAAGTAAAGTCTTGGCTTGGAAAGTGTTTTGTTATGAAGGATCCAGGAGAGGCAACATATATTCTTGAGATAAGAATCTTAAGGGATAGAAAGAAAAGACTAATTGGTTTTAGTCAAAGTACATACTTAGATAATGTAATAAAACGTTTTAATATAGAAAATTCCAAGAAAGAGAGGTATATATTCAGAGTAATGCCAAATTGAGTAAGACTTAAAACCCTAGTACAAATGAAGAGAGCGGAAAGGAGTCGAGTCTCATATGTTTTGGTTGTAGGATCGATCATGTAGGTAGGGTCGGTCTAGACGGTGGGCAACCTGGGCGACCGCCCAGGGCCCCACGACTCCAGGGG